ACCGGTTTTATGTGGAATACCGCGATGTTTCGGTTTTTTTTTCGTTACCAATGATTTCAGACTGCAATTACGGACAATGAGCGGGTTATCACTCACAGATATTCTGGGAAATGTGAATGACGAATTGGTTCATCTCGTTGGGTAACTGTTTCAGTGTGAATGATAACTTTTGGTTTTCAGTGAATTTTTGTTTATAAAATTCCAATAAATCTATTCCTTCTTATTGTAAGGAAATGCGAAAGATTTTTTAATGCAATTTCCGACGCACTATTTGCAATTGTAGAGAATTTCGTGACTGAAGATTTATTCAAGTTTATGAAATACTTCAACCCAAATTTACAGATTCCATTGATTTCCCCATGAAATTGAGAATTTTCAATTACGAAATTCCTTGAAATTTCAGTGAAACTATAATGTGATAAAAATTTTCAAAAAGTGTACCGAGAATTTCAGCCAAAAATCGTGAACAAATATTTTGTTACACCAAATTTTTGTATTCAAAAATTTTAGTAATAAAAAAAAAGCTTCAGAGTTTGAAAATTTTGGTAAAAATTCGCAATAATTTTGCTATTCACACGTGAAAATAAATTTAAAAAATGAGGCTTCCTCGTGGCAATCTTTCCCACATTAAAAAAAAATCAGTTGTCTGAAAGCTAGAATAATTCTCATTACCTATTCATCATAAGAAAGTAATTTCGACAGTCCGTACGAAACTGTTACAAGGTACTTAAGCCTCAGGCAACATTTCTCATACAAAAAAATACACTTTGTAATTTCATTTAACCATAGCCTTCCTTTTCCCCTATTTTTAGAAATTGCAATTTTACACTCAACAATTCTATAAATACCCGTATACGTCAGTGGTGTAGGTCGCGGATTTACCGCGTCTTATACCCGCAAGAATTTGTCCAATTAAACATAGGAATGTGTAGGAACTTAATTGAGCGAATATCTCAATGAAGAGAACAATTTCCAAGGATGAAAGCGCCAGACACTTATCTCAATAATTTAAGTCCTCCTTTTTTTTCACGGCTGGGAGTGAAGTTTTTCCCCCGGTTTATTTCGGAGAGAATAATGTGAGAAAATCTTGTACTGTTAAAATCTCGACTGGAGGGGTGATGATGAGTGGATGTTACTACCACCTAAGGATCACACGAAGTCCTTGAGCCATCTGCTGGCCATCCGTCCCGGTTGGTACGTTACGAGGCCATAACACTATAACTCCTCGAGACGCGTTATCCAATTCAAAAACACCGACATCTCGGCGTTTGTACCGCACACGTGGGACCCCGGTTACACAGTAAAAGTGTGAAAAGCCTTTGGAGAGGGTCCCCGATAAGGAGATTAACAGAGAAAACACGAGTTGGAGAAAATTTTAGAGCTTCGGCTCGACATTACTGATGTTGAAGTGGTAAACGTGACCGTATTATGAGTTTAATGAGTAAATGTTTGACTGTTCAATGCCAATTTGCGGTGAGAGGGACCTCATCTACTATTACTAACTCATTCATTCTATTTCTTTCGATATTACTGATGTTAGTGGTAAATATGAACATATTATGAATTTTATGCCGTTAGAAAATTTTCTGGAAGTTTTCTGGAGTATTCAATGGAATTGCAATTTTCAGATCCACATGATAATGAAAATTATTGAATAAAATTTCATCTTAAATTGAATTCAAATTCACAACATTGAGAATTCAAGTGCAACTATTGTTTAATTTTCAAAAAAATTCTAATAGTGTAATGAGCAAATGTTTAATTGTTCAACTTCAATTTGTGCTGAGAGGAACGTCATTTATTATTACTCATTTATTCATTTATTTATGGGAGAGTGGCGCCAGTACTATTTGTATTCATGTCATCTTACCGAATTCAATTAAAAAATATTGTCTTCTGTGTGCCTGTATCGCATACATGGGATTCTGTTAGATAGTAAACGTGTGAAAAGCCTGTGGAGAGGGTCCCCGATAAGGAGATTAACAGAGAAAACAAGTGTTGGAGAAAATTTTAGAGGTTCGGTTCGATATTACCGATGTTAAAGTGGTAAACATGACCGTATTATGAGTTATAATGAGTAAATGTTTGATTGTTCAATGCTAATTTGGGCTGAAGGGGGCCTCATCTATTATCACTTATTCATTCATTTTATTTTTTTGAAATATCTGTGATTGTTCGGTAAATTTGAATTTTTCCTTTCTTTAATTCAGTTATTTTAAGTGAATCCAATTAAAAAATATTGTCTTCTCGGTGTTTGCACCGCACACGTGGGGTCTGATCATATAGCAAACGTGTGAAAAGCCTTTGGAGAGGCTCACCGATAAGAACATTAAAAGAGAAAACAAGAGTTGAAAAAAAATTCAGCGGTCCTGATGTCAATCTGCTGCTGAAGTGACTAATTTTTGAAAAATTGTGGTGAAAATTACTGTGTCGTCAATTATATTCAGCAGTTATTTGATTATTCAACATCAATTTGCAAACTATAAAAATTTTTTTGCGGTACGCTTCTCAGAAATTTTCACTACATTACAATTCCATTGAAATTTCAAGAAAATTCGTCATTAAAAATTCCCAATTTTCTGGAAAAATCAAAGAAAACTGTAAACTTCAGTTCATTTACGCCACAAACATTAATCGCAATCTGGAGAACTCAGGTAAATAAATTTCTGAACATTTACTCAATGTAAACTTTAATTAAGTCGAAAAATTCTCGTCATTCTGAAAATAACTAGTCAACCCTTCACGACATTCCTCCTTTCTCCAACAGTATTCTGAGGCGACGACCATCCCCATCATTCACGATTAAAAATACTTCAAAGCGCTAACTTAAATTTGCAAAAATAAAAAATCGTTCTCCCCACATGATAATATTTTCATCCGATCTCTTCGGTAATATTTTTTCACCGGGCTCCATCGATTCAAAGGTAAATTCCTAGGCCTTCCCCGCCGATTAGTAAATGTCTACATCAGAATAATAAATTTCCGGATAAAATTTATTGTTTTCATTTTTCGAAGAATTGACTATCCGCGTTGCAGATTCTTGGGACGCGTGCGGGTCACCTTGTTAGGGGTTCCGTCGCAGAAACCAACGGAAAAAGGAGGGAAAAAAAAGGAACAGACCGCAGGTATACAAGAAACCCGCGAAACAAAGTGAAAAAAAAATTGAAAAAAACCAATTGAAACTAAAAAAGTGAAAGAAATAAGGAGGTAAGGAAGGTGGAGGCGGATAGAAGGCCACACGAAAATATACGTGTGTATTGGCCTGACTGATTTATCGTTCCTCGTCGCTGAATCGTCGATCGTTGGAACGATAGCGGGAGGGAGGACCGGGAGACGATGCGAGACATAACAGAAGAAAAGAGGTGGATAAAGGGACTGGGGGGGGGTCTTCCAGGCGCGTTGGGATGATCGAGAGGCCGCCGCCGATGCCGCAGCACAAACAGACGTGCTCAGACGTTGACGGGTACATCCACTCGAATCGCGATCTGGACGGGCTACAGGAGTCGCATTAGCCTGATAGTTTCACGTTCTCGATTGGTTGGACACTGAATATTTCACGAGCATACGTCTTTACCCCCTTTGAGAGGGCCAGCTTGATTTTTTTTTCAGGAAAAAAAATGATTCTTGTGGAGTAATGGAAAATTTCGCCGGGGATTCCACGTCGAATGTCTCGGAATATTTGATGATAATTAATTGGGCGCATTGTTGAAAATTTTTGAGGAAAATTTCCGGTAGAACGCTCGGAAATTTTTATTAAATTAGAATTCCAGTGGAATTTCAAGGAATTTTGTCGTTGAACAGTGGAAATTGTACGAAAAATCAAAGGGAACTGTAAATTTCAGGTCAATTATTCCGTGAAAATTAATAGAAATCTGGAGATCTCTGGTAAATGGATTCGAAACGTTCAATTAATTGAAAATTTAACTAAATTGGGGAATTCTTGTTTTACTGTCGCTAGAACATTTGGAACTTCACGAAACTGAATATAAATATTCAGTCTCAGATTAACCTGATTCCTCAACTAATTAATAATTCACTAATTTATGCGCTTGAATTTTGCTCATTTTTACTCATGTTCACTGAATAATCAAACTGAAATTTACAGTTATTTAATTATTCATCAAATCAGGATTTTTTAACGACAAGATTATGTCAAATTTAAGTAGAAATGTCACCTGTTAAAACTTTGGGCACATTTACTGGGAATTTCGTATATCAAATTTTTTCCAAATATTCATTTAGTTGAGAGACGTATCAATTTTTTCTAAATCGTATTTCTCATGTTGCACACGACTTAGGATGAATTCCTCCAATGATTATTCTTTTCCTCTAAACCCCTTATATTCCAGAGCGAAGAATTTGGATTAATTTTTCAATGCCGACGATTATTGAAGTTCACTCAAGGTCATTGCTAACACGATCATCTTCACCTGGAAATGACTCGATTGGACAGATACAATATTGAAAAAACAAATCCTCCTCTCAAGTAAACGCACATTTTCCAAAAATAATTTATTTTTTCAGTGCGGATATCCCAAACGCACCCTCTCACCCGCACTTCGCCCCCAAACAACCGAAATTCGTGGATGCAGCCACGAGTGAAGTAACCACAACGAAAACACGTGGTTGAGATGTTTTAAACGCACAAAGTGCACATACGCCAACAAGTCCACAATGGAAAAGGAGTTGGGGCTGTTTACCTAGTAAGTAGCGTTGTCAGTCAGCCGGTTCGTCGCGTTTCCCCCTCGGGCGCAAAAGCGCTGTAACATCAACCCAACCCGTCTCCCTCTGTACATACCCATTGCCCGTGGGCTCCGAAGCAGCGTAACGAGTGATACAAGATGCAGTTCTCTATCCCGTGGGACGGTTACCGCTGGAGGGGAGAATGCACTGTGCACCAACCGGGAGGGGATAAACCCGAGTAGTAGGGGGGGTTGCAACTCTCTCGGAGCGCAGAGCCCACAGGCAGTTGGACTGTTGAGTCAGTCGTCCAACGTCTCTCCACCGAGATAGTTGTGTGAAAGCGTGAGCCGTCGATATCCCGACACGCGCGCACCACCCGCCGTAATAAAGTTTAAAAAGCCACAATAATGATCGACCGCGCGATACCAACAAAGTTCGCCCCAGTTGGAATTGAATATTAACAGAGAGCAAACAGTTTGAACAATAGTCAGTGATAAAGTGAAAAGTGACTATGAGTGCATGACGAAAGAGGATATACCGTCTGTTTCTTTTTGTTTGCAATAACAGAGAAATAAAAAAATCCAGCGATGGAGGTGCACATTCTCCTGTGGCTGACACTATTGTCAATGTCCACCGTATTCTCCCGCAGTATCACGAGCTTAGAGGCCCCTCGTGGCTGCGAGTGGAGGAAAGACCCCAATTCGGATAAGCAGAGCTTACTCTGCAGACTGAGAACCATAGCCAATGCCGTTGAACTCATTGGTAATCTATCAACAATTCAGGCTGACTCTGTGACATCGCTCATTCTCGAGTGCAACGATGCACTATTCTTCGAGTCGCAGATTGAAGATCCCAGGGATTTTTTAACACCACTGAGACACCTCCAGGAGCTCACAATTGAGCGCTGTAAAATACGGTATTTGCCAGCGGGTGCATTTGCATCGGCCCGCAATCTCCGCAGTCTCACCATAAGAACACGCAACAATGACTGGTCTGGTATGTCACTGGAGATCAATCGCGATGCACTGCGGGGCCTCGATAGACTGCGCAATCTGGATCTTGGTGATAACAATGTGTGGTCATTGCCGACGGAACTTTTGTGTGCAGTGCCAGATCTCGTGAGTTTGAATCTTACGCGCAACAAGTTACAGGACGTTTCGTCACTCAATTTCTCACAGCCATTGTCAGTGTGCACACCCAAACTCGAAGTACTTGAACTCAGCGACAATGACTTGAATGCATTGCCCAGCAGTTCGTTCAGGGGCCTTGGAAAGCTCAAGAATCTCATGCTCCAGGACAATGACATTGGATACATAGCCGATCACGCACTGGCTGGATTATCGGATTTAACGAGATTAAATTTATCGAATAATAAACTTGTTGCATTACCCCCGGACCTATTCTCGGACACCCGAGAGCTGCGTGAACTCGTACTGAGTAATAATTTACTAGACGTACTGGGCCCTGGACTGCTGGACAATTTGAAGAAGCTCCAATCATTGGATCTCAGTAATAACAATTTGACGAGCTATTGGGTGAAACGTGACACATTTTCACAGCTCGTGGAACTCGTAATTCTCGACTTGTCGTACAATAATCTCACGAAAATAAGCAGCAATGTGTTTAAGGGCCTCTACAACCTCCAAATACTCTCCGTAGAGCACAATAAGATCGACACATTGGGCGATGGTTGCTTCGGCTCACTCAGGAATTTACATTCTTTGACTCTCTCGCACAATCGAATTTCATGTTTTGAGCCCGGTCACACGGTGGGCCTCGGCGCCCTCGTACAGCTCTTCTTGGACGCTAATAAGCTACACAATGTGCATCGTCATGCCTTTGTCAATGTTAATACAAGCCTACAAGAGCTCTCCATGAGCGGAAATTCATTTACGGATGTGCCGGAGGCAATACGCCAACTGCGCGCTTTAAAAACCCTGGATCTTGGCAACAACAGAATATCGAAAATCAGTAAGGAGTCATTCGCCGGTCTCGGCGAGCTCTACGGTCTGCGTCTCGTTGACAATAAACTTGAGAATGTCACGAGAGAGGCTTTCTCAAGTTTACCAGAGCTACAAGTACTGAATCTCGCCAGCAATTCAATAAGACACGTTGAACAGAGTGCATTCTCGAGTAATCCAAAATTACGTGCCATAAGACTTGACGATAATCAGCTGACGGAAATACGTGGAGCATTCACCAGTCTCACCACCCTCCAATTGCTCAACGTCTCTGACAATAAACTGCTGTGGTTTGACTACAGTCATCTACCCTCGAGTCTTGAATGGCTGGACATACACAACAATCAGATAAGCGAATTGGGTAATTTCTACATGGTCCAGGGAAGCCTTCACATAAAGATGCTGGACGCCAGTTACAATCTCATCACTGAAATATCGGATTCGAGTATACCCGATGGCATTGAAACACTCAGGCTGAATAACAATAGGATACGGAGTGTTGCGCCGGGCACATTTTTGAGGAAAACCAGTCTTGAGAAGGTTATTCTCTATGGGAATGAGATTAAACACATTGATATAGCAGCACTGGCCATCCAGGAGGTGCCGGTGGAGCGCAATTTGCCGGAATTTCACATAGGTGATAATCCATTTTTGTGCGATTGCTCGATGGAGTGGCTGCCCAAGATCAATGAACAACCGAGACCTCGGGAGTATCCGAGGGTTATGGATCTCGACGCTGTGACATGTGACATGGTGCACATAAGGGCAACTCCAAAACGTCCGTTACTCTCGTTGAGGGCCAAGGACTTTCTCTGCCGCTACGAGGCGCACTGCTTCGCACTGTGTCACTGTTGTGATTTCGATGCTTGTGATTGTGAAATGACTTGTCCCGATAATTGCTCGTGCTATCACGATCACAGTTGGTCGAGTAATGTCGTTGATTGCTCCAATGGTGGTTATAAAAATGTGCCAGAGAGAATTCCCATGGATGCCACGGAAATATATCTCGATGGGAATGATCTTGGGGATTTGGGTAGTCACGTTTTCATTGGCAAACGGAGGCTCGAGGTATTGTATTTGAATAACAGTGCCATTTCCGCTCTCCATAATCGAACATTCAATGGTGCACCAGCATTACGTGTTTTACATCTTGAGGGTAATGCACTCCGAGAGCTTCGTGGATTTGAGTTCGATCAGCTGGAAACACTATCCGAACTCTATCTGGATCACAATGCCATTGCTGAAGTTGGCAATACGACTTTCAATAAAATGAAGAGCCTAGAAGTGTTGAGATTGGATAGCAATAGAATCGTCGATTTCCGGCCGTGGGAAGCATTGGCGGGCACTGGCGCTGGTGCTAGAGTTGCTCTTGAGGGTAATGCCTGGAATTGTGATTGCAGTAATACAGCTAAATTGCGATCTTGGCTGGGACAGCACGACGGCGATGCTGAGAAGATGTATTGCCGAGATGGAACTGAAACACTTGCCCAAGCACTGCGTCGCTGTGGTGATCCATCGACCGAGGCTGTCTCCAGAGGTATACCAGATACAAATCTCACGGGAGGTAACTTTGTACCACTACTGGCTGGTGCACTTGTTGTGGTCATTGTCATTTGCCTGGTGGTTGCACTTGCTTTTGCATTCAGACAAGATGTACGTCTGTGGGTGCACTCAAAGTATGGCCTTAGACTGGGTAAAGTAGCAAATCCACCTGATGAAGAACGTGACAGACTCTACGATGGCTACATCATCTACAACGAGAGAGATCAAGACTTTGTATCGGGTTGTTTGTCAGCTGAATTGGAGCAGTCGGGGTTGAGCTTGTGTCTTCATTATCGTGATTTGCCACCGTCGAGACATCAGGAGGCATTGCCACCAGCTGCTGCGGCAGCTCGACGCATTGTCCTGGTCTTCTCACCTGTGTTCTTCGCCAATGAGTGGCAGCATCCGGAATTTCGTGCTGCCCTTCGCTGTGTCCTTGATACCATTAGGCCGAGTTTGAGGAGGCGCAGGGTTGTCATTCTTCTGGCAGCCGAGGCACCACGCAATCAGGATACCGAGCTGCAGCTACTTCTTCAGACCTGCGAGGTCATCACATGGAGTGACAAGCGTTTCTGGGAGAAACTGAGATTCGCCATGCCAGATCCGGCGGACAAAAGACGAGATGGAAAGAAGATCAATGGTGACAGATGTGGTGTGAGGGTACCGGCGCGTTACACAGCCGCACCCTCAGCACCAGCGGACCTTTGGGCCAAGCCAAATGGGCTTTTGGTCGCACCGGTTCATCATGCACCCACGCCAACCCCCACGCAGTCAACCTACGTTAGTTCCGCATCGAGCAGAACTGAGGACGAGGACAGCGGTGCTGAGCATCAGCATCACGGTGGCTACAGTGCCCTTCACACTGCCAATGGTAGACCAGCAAGTCTTTCATCCCGTGGTAGCCATCTTTACAGTACCATACCAGAGCCACCATTGTCACAGGGACAGCTTGGTGGTGTTGGTGGTATGCCCGTTAATCCTCGTACTTATTTTGTGTAGCTTACATCCGTGTATTTAAAGATATATCGTAAAGTGTCGCCCAGATTGCTTTCATCAAATCTTATCCCTTCTCGTTTCTTCACTGAAACTCCCACGTGTTTGTACATAAGACATTTTTTTTTTTCCATTTAAATATGGAAGGATGGAAGATGAAAATTTATTGTGAGGAAGTGCGGAGGGAGAGTTCTCTGGACGTTTCGTGTGAACCCTATTTTTCTAGGGCGCCTCTAACTAAGACTGGATATGAATGGGATGTGAGGAGTTTGTATGGTAATTGAATTGCAGTGAGAAGCGTGTAATTATTGGCTGTCAGGCGACGGACAGACGTGAGTTATGGGCTCGATGACGGCTAAGTCCATACATGAAGACTTATAGCAAACGTTGATAATTTTTATATTGATTTCTATGCCTCTTCTTACTTTTCTTAAAATACCACCAGTAGTTCCTTGAACTTGTTCGCGTTCAACATTTTTCATGTTGGTTTTTTGTATTATTCGGGTGGGGGAGTAGGAAAATGTGTAAACAAGACTCACGTAATTTGAGGCAAAACTAGCGTCACGTTACCTCATTCTGTCCAATTGCCGACTGTGGCTTTTCTCGTGTCTGAGAAGCCACCCAACGCTTATTAGTCCATAAGGAGAGAAACCTTTGTAAATAATGTATCTACTTTTGTATATAGAACGAGAAAAAAAAAAACAATACAACGGGTTTGTTTGAGACAAATCTCCAAGGGCCCATCCTATAAATGTTCGTATTACAATATTTCTTAGAAAAGAAAAATGTGAAAAAAAATCTAAGACGAGAGACGAAAACTTAAACTTGTATTCTATTGTTGTAAATAGTGTTTCACGCGACGCATTTTATTCACCTGTTATACTAAATTAATTCATGATTGAGGGAGGAACCATTGAACCAATTTTTTTTCTAATAAAAAGAGAAGAAAAAAAAACGACTACGAAGTATTGAAAATGGAAAACGTATATTTGTCTTGTCAATCTTTTTCGAAATACCTATTCCCATGTCATCATTCACCAGTGATAAGATCAACAAAATTGCTTTCACTCTCCAGGAGAAACTTGTACATTGTTCTTCGACGTTTCCATGAAGAAATCCATTGACAATAGTATTGTTCGTGTTTTATCTATTGGTATTTTCGCTGGATCTGGGTGAGTTGGGGAAAAAAAAAAGATCGTCGTGTTCCGGTTACATGCTAACAGGTAGCAAAATGCACATCTTCTTTTCCTACACATCGATCCTAGATTTTGCACTCGAAACCAGTGTAAGTTTCTATAGCCAACAGTTGAACTATCGTTTGGTACAGTCATCACGTACACACTCATCTTTCGCTTCGCTTTCGATAACCACATTCTGGTGTCTCCAACGTATGAATCGAGCCGATGTCGCATATACAGTACATTTGATACGAGCATCGAATCGAATATTTCGAATGGGTCATGAGAAGTTGGTCATGCCTGTCTATGGGCATTTTGTAAATCATGCTTCAGGTGGTGAGGAGAGGATTGGTTAAACGTGGTAAGAATTATTAGTCCGTGCTTCACTCGATTATACGCTACTTTGGTACACGAGGCGTCGCACAACTTTACAAGCTCTGGATTTATTGTCGTCAATTGGTCATTCGTTATTTTCAGTGTTTGCAGGATGCCAATGCGAGATGATGGCAATTAATATCGTACCACTCCTCTGTTGACAGTGGATTTCATTCTATATGATGTTTATCAATTTAGTCGTAAAATTTTGCGACGAGGTGACACAGACGGCATATTAAAATTTTTTTCAGTCATCTTTCCTTGATGACGAACAATTACATCACTTTACGAAGATATCTTATCTTTTTACCAATAAAAAAATATATATCTTATTTTTTGCCGTTTGTAGAGAAGAAAAATTGAGAAAAATGGAGTTTTATCGTTGGCAAAAAAATGCGTTTGTCATATAAATTTAAAAAATCAATTCAATAGAGAATTTCGGGTTATGCATGTGTCAATGATTTTGAGCCGATGGAGTTATTGTAAATTGAGTCATGAAATGGATTTTATCAATTTTAGCATCAGTATGATACGACAAAATGACTAATTGCTATTTTTGAAATCACGTTCGCTGAATGAACGAAAAAATTACCTCATAAACTATTTGAAACTATTTGAAATTTTTCTATTCTTTTCAACAATATTTTTATTTTTAATCAATAGCTTATAAATTTAGGTCAATAAAAATATTTCTATTTTACGACATGAAACATTTATTCATTTCACATGAAACCTCTATGAGAATAAAAAAAAATTCTTTTGATACGAAAAAAATTCATTTAAAAATTCGAGTTTGAGTATAAATAAAAGCTTAATGACGAGTTTTTTTAATAAACCCATGTATTGTATTCAAATAAACAATTCATCTAGGTGTAGCCTAGCAGCCGTTAATGAAAAAAACTGAACTTACTCAAGTTTATTTATAAACAAAAAAAATGATCCCTCAAATAAGTCACCCCCATCAAGTCTCATTAGCCATGATCCATTTCATCTCCGAGTTTTCCAACTTTGGTTCCACCAACAGAACCATTTAAAAAACTAACGTAAAACTAAGAATATCCCGGCGCATCGAGCGACTATAACGATGATATCTCCGACAGCTAGAGATAAAAAAGTTATGCAGACGTTAATTACCCAAATCGATGGGGCTTTGAAACCGAGGATAATTGCTTTTAAATGGATCAGTCTTCAGAGCGGAAAACTTCCTTTAAAAATGTCATTCTCAATGACGAGGTTAAACTAGATTTAAAATTTTCAGAATGTCTTCCAACTTTTCCAAGCTCTCTCCACAGCCCCGCAAAGGCTTATTCCTCTACACACATTATCGTGTTCCACTGAATTGGATTTTCTTGGACATTAACTCTAAGACCCCCCTCAAGTTTTATCCACCATTATGATGTAAATTTTCCAGACCGATTACGCTGTCCACTGCATAACCAATAACATGCGCGATAATTTGTCGGAGCTATCCTGGTGAATAGTCTCGTTGATGTGAAAAGAAAAATGTGACAGAGTTGCAGAAAAATGTTGCTTTGAATCCTGGAAAATTCTCGTCAGCGAATTTCCTCTCATGTAGTCCTCAAAATGTACCTCTAGCCACGTAATTCTTTACATTTATTTCTCCTCTCTCTTTCAGGTCTGATTTTCTACAGAAACATATACGGCTGAGTATGCCAAATTCTCGTACAGATATCCCAAGCTTTTCGGCATCATCGTTTTTTGATATAAAAAGAAAATAATATCATACAGCATAAACGAAGTGGCGTCTTGTGGTCTTCCACTGCTATTTCAACATGCCCCTGATGCCATACCAGTACCAAAATCCCCTCCTTGGGATTCGCCTGGTAGTGCGGATTCCATCTTCGGCTCGTTTCATTTCAACAAAAACTGGGGGAAAGGGGCACTGGATGGAGAAAAACGAAAAATTGAGTTTAAATCCCTTGCGTTGGTATGGGAGCGCTTGGTATCTCTTGGGTTTGAAAAAGGGAGAGAGGGCTCAGTTGGAATTCAAGAGACAGGATGAGATGAAGAAACACTACTCGAGGTATTGCCTTGGATGATCTGGACGAAAGAAATACACATTGACTTTCGGAATTGAATAATCGCTGCGTGAGTGGATGAAAATTCTCACCTTGTTAGGTGCTTTCTGGGATCTGATTGGAGTGAAAAAAGGGGAACGGGGAGGGGAACTAATTGAAAGAAATTTGATAGGTTACATGTCGCAATGACAGGTGAAAATTTTAACAGATACTACGAGCAATTCAACACTGACGGTTTTTTAATGGAGTTTTCTTCTCATCTGATGTAATAGTGGAAATTGAAAATGTTTTTTGTAGCATCAATGCTGAGGGATATCAGTTTCATATAGTGTTATAGTGTTGGGAAAAAGGTGGAATTTCGTGGATAATTGATCAATAATTTTTAGGAGGGGCACAGCGAATTCGATTTAGGGAGGAAAAATAGTGAAGTATCATGAAATTCCACGTTTTTATTTGAATTTCAATAAGACATGAATATTTAGCTCTAAATTATGATGAATTTTTAACTGATCCAACATTTAGGTGTGTGCTTACCTGAATGTTCCTGTTTTATGTTAAGTTTCCTGTAAATTCAGTTTCTATTGATTTTCCTGTAAGATTTTGATTTTTTAGTTACGAGATTTCTTGAAATTTCAGTGGAACTGTAATGTGTGTCCAGAAAAATTTTTCTGGAAATTTTTATCACATAATTTCATTGAAATTTCAAAGCATATCATCACTGACAATTCCAGATTTTACATAAAATCAATGGAAACTGTAAATTTCAGTCCAATTATTTCATAAAAATATGAAAGATATATTCTCGAATTTTTAATTAATTGAAAATTCTACATAATTTGGCACTGAATATTCATGTTTTATTAATGGAAAATGCAGTGTAATTTGGCATTGAATATCATGTTTTGCTGTAATTTTATTTTTCCTTCGTGACGCTGTCTGAAAGGTCTCGAGGCCTCGAAACAATTTGAAAAAGTGAAAGATCCCGAGCCGTCTGTCGAACGCCAAACTAATTGCCCTGGCTACCATCTCGATAAGTTCGTACACCTCCGCGGTAACACAAAACCCGTTAGAATCAATTATAATGATGACGTGCCATAATGCGTCAAAACAATGTGTTACGACCAATCAAAACCCTTTCCAATGCGAGCGATAAGTGTGAGTAAATTATTTTCTCCCCATGTGATGAATGATTTCCGTTCAATCATTTGTATTTTATTTTCAACGAGTTATTTATTTCGTGCTCTGATGATGATTGAATTTCATTTCCAATTTATGGATCTGAAAACATCTCTGATAAATTGAAATATCACATTTTCGTGATGTTAAAAATACAGGTGTGGTCTATTTTACCATGAGTTATCGTTTTTCAGGTGTGCTTCGATTTCCATTAAATTCGAGTTGTTTAACCATGTGGATAATTTATTTATCACTGAATAAATTCACTGGGCTCTGAGGGTGGCCAATAGTTACCTCACTCTAAAATTTATGTTTCAATGCTTTACATTTTGGTCGCATGAAATAGAAAACATATAACGGAAAAAAGAGACTGTACATTGTCATTTGTGAATGCAGTTAATTCGGCATTCACAAATTGTTGTCTCTGAAAATTTTTGACCGGTGAAATCATCCCGTCCGCTAAATGCCTCGAGGTACAACGCAATTTTTAATAATGTTCACCCGAAGGGTCTGGGATAACAATTAAATGCTCTGAATAATTCATGTGCCTGCATCGTAACGAGATTCATATTTTCAATAATCATAGTGTGGCCATTTCATAAACACGTCTGGTGAATACTTGAGGCGGTATTGGGGGTTTAGATTGCAGGAGAATTTACTGAAAAATTGAAAAGGGAGAATAATGGATGGGTCTCAGAATGATATGTCGCGTCTGTGAATTAGTTGCTTCTAAGTTCAGGCCAGGTCATGTGTCTGGTGAATCCATTATGCAGGTTGAATCAGTCGTCTCCTTATTGGGATGAAATTCACCTGGGATTCGTGTAGAGTTCAACTGACCATACGAATGGGAAAAACTATTTTCAGTATAGGTGTTGATCGTGTTTACATCCGGAGGATAATAAGGGATACAACGGAGTGGTTTGTTGAAATCATAATAGAATGTTGGATTTTGAAAAGATCATCTTTTAAATTAATTTGTTGAGCAAAAGATATTTTTCAAATTCTCCAGACATTTTCAGATGGTGAAAGTCAATTTTTTTGAATTTTTCAACATTTAAAAAAATAGTTAAAAAGAATAAATTTTGAGATTATATTTTAAAAAATTGAAATTTTTTGAAAAACTGCACTTTCCATTGACATGTCAAGCAATGTCGTTCATTAGAAAATCACATTTTCCTTAAAACTGTAAATTTACGT